GCGGCTCCTCCTGGCCGAGCTCCGGACGCGCCTCGGGGCGATTTCCCAGCGGATTCGGCGCCGGAACGCGGAGCTGGAGCTGCCCTACCCCTACCTGGACCCGGCCGTGGTGCAGGAGAGCATCTCCATCTGAGTGACCATCGGAGTGACCAGAGTGACATCTGAGTGACCACAGTGACCACAGTGACCACAGTGACCATCTGAGTGACCAGAGTGACCATGGGGAGTGACCACGGGGAGTGACCATGGGGACATCTGAGTGACCGGAGTGACCATCTGAGTGACCAGAGTGACCACGGGGACACTGGACAGGAGAGCATCTCCACCTGAGTGACCACAGTGACCACGGGGAGTGACCACAGTGACCAGAGTGACCACGGGGAGTGACCACGGGGAGTGACCACGGGGAGTGACCACGGGGACATCTGAGTGACCATCTGAGTGACCGGAGTGACCACAGGGAGTGACCGTCTGAGTGACCATGGGGACATCTGAGTGACCATGGGGACACCTGGGACAGGAGAGCATCTCCATCTGAGTGACCACACTGACCACAGGGAGTGACCACGGGGAGTGACCATCTGAGTGACCAGAGTGACCATCTGAGTGACCACAGTGACCAGAGTGACCATCTGAGTGACCATCTGAGTGACCATCTGAGTGACCGCGGGGACATCTGAGTGACCATGGGGACACCTGGGACAGGAGAGCATCTCCATCTGAGTGACCACAGGGACATCTGCTCCACCAGAGTGGCCCCAACCTTCTCCCAGGGTGTCCCCAAGCCCCTCCGAGGTGTCCCCAAACCCCCCAGACCTCCCCCAGTGGTGTCCCCAAATCTCCTTGGATGTCCCCAATGTGTCCCCGATGTCCCCAACCCCTCCTGGATGTCCCCAACCCCTCCTGGATGTCCCCAACTCCCTGTGACCATCCCCCCCCCCGTGTGTCCCCTCCTCGAGTGACCCTCGGGCCCCTCCCCCACATGACCCCGCCCCCATTCTAGGGGTGCAGAGCTCATTACCATATATGCAAATCACGTGCTCCCTCAGAAACCAATGAACTCGGTCAAAATCTATTTAACCATCAAATGGAATCTATGACGTCATTCCCCATAACAGGGTCAGCTCATTACCATATATGCAAATCACGTGTTTTCTATAAAAACCAATAAACTCCGTCAAAAATCTACTATTTTACCATAAAATTGAACTTATTACGTCATTGCCCTGATAAGGAAGATCTCATTTCCATATATGCAAATTACATCTTTTTTTTACATTATCAATGATCCCCCGCGGTTTTTCCCGCCTTTCCCCAGCGCAGGCGCAGTCAGAGTCTCGGTTTTGGCGCGCGCGGGTTTTGTTGTTGCATCGCAACCCGCGCGGCCTCGCGCAGTGACGTAATCACGCACGTCATCAGAGCGCGCTCATCACGTGCTGCCCGCGCTGGGCGGGGCAGGTCAGGATGTACCGCACTGACGATGCC